ACCCATGGGATTCTGAACATTAGAGAGGGAATTTTCTGCAGTTAGACTTACAAACAAGCTCCAGAATCTTGCTAGTTCAAAGACATTTTTAACCAAACTACTTTCCTCCTGTAAGGTACTGGGGGTGGGGAGGGCTGTGATCAGTGAAGAATAAGTACTTTTTGGGTTGTTTTTTTTTTTTCCCCTTGAGGTAGTTGCTGTGTGTTACACTGTTGCCTTAACAACAACAAAGTCGGGAACAATTCCAAGGGCTTATCTCCTTTAATCTTTACAAAACCTTATAAGGTAGGTGGTACTCCCAATACTATAGATGAGTACATATGCTTATAGTTAGGTTAGATACCCCACTGTGGGTTGTATGCATCAGCAGAGCTGGTATGCAAGCCCTGGTCTGTCTGACTCCAAAGCTGGTGCTTTTATTTATTTTACAAATAGAGATGGGATCTCACTGTGTTGCACAGGTTCTCCTGGACTCAAGCGATCCTCCCACCTTGGCCTCTCAAAGTGCTGGGACTACAGGTGTGAGCCACCATGCCTAGCCAAAACTGTTTTAAACAATATACCATCCTTCACTTTGTGGAGGGTATGGGGAATGATTTAGACAGTTGGCCTCCTTTATTTTCTCTAAGATGGTTCTTCACAGATTGATGATCGCTAAATTACATTTTTAGAGTAGGCTAGTTTTGTTGTTGTAACTTCCTTACAGTGTCATTCCCATAAAATTTTGTATCAAACTGGCTGTAGTGGCATGTAGCTGTAGTCCCAGCTACTTGGAAGGCTGACACAGAGGCTTTTTGAGCCCAAGAGTTAATGACTAGCCCTGGCAACAGAGCGAGACCCTGTCTCAGAAATTTTTTTGTATCAAGGATTTGAGATTTATAAGACACAATATCACAAAATTTGAAAGAAGAGAACTGAAGTAGTGATGAGGTGAAGGAGATTAAGAAAAGGAAAGAAGTAAGAGGGGAGGAAAGAGAAAAGATAAGTTTTCTCCCATTTGATACCTGGACTAGCTGGACTTATTTTAGGGCCTCTGGAATGTGGCTCCTGTTGTCTTTAAAGGCCAAAGAATGATCTTGAAAACATTGGCTTCTAAAAGTCTGCTTGATAGTGGTGTGGACATTAGAGCTAAGTTTTTAGATTGTTCTTTCAGAGCCAAAGAAATTTTGCAACCCAGCAAGAAGCAATTGACCCAGCTGTCCTGGCCTACACAGGTTTAGACGGCACATTTGGCCTTCTTGATATAGGAGTATTACTAAGGGCAAAGAGTGTTTTTAGCACAACCTTTAAAATACTTTTTTATTCTTGGACTTCAGTACCTTTTTGAAAGTGTCCTCTTCCATTTTTTTTACTTAAAAATGCTTATTTACAAAAAAGAAAAATAAATAAAATAAAAATGTTTATTTACAGTTTTTAGTGAGGTACTCTGCGAGAAGTTGGCTAGACCTTGCCATATGGGATTGCAAATGGGCAGACATACAATATATGACCAATTTAGTGATAAGCATACTTATGAACTATTTGTAAATATGAATAATTATTAAACATTTTACATGGTAAAGAATGGGATATACTTGTGGAAGTTGATAAATCTAAGAAAACATCATAGAAGAAATGTAATTTCTGGAGCTGCTGTTGAAAACTAGACCACTATGAATACTGGCTATAAAAGTCAGATTGGCCGGAAGGTCAGATTGGAGGAATATATTATATAGCATCAAATCAAACCTAGATTGGCATTTTTAGCTAATCTCAGTAACTGTAAAAGAAGTATCAAATATTTTGGGAAAAAAATAACAAAGATGCTGTTTGTAACCAAGTTATCTAATTAAATTTTCATCTAAATGAAATCACCCTTTTTTCATTCATCCCCTTCTAGGCAGGATTGATACGAGGTTTATCTCTGAAGGGAGTTCCTGTAAGTTCTCTTGGTATGATATGTACTACATAAGTCCTGTAGTTACAAGGGCCCTCTAGAGTTCTAACTTTAATTCTTTCCACAGTAATCTTTTGCCATTTAAATAGTTCATTATCACCATGAAATATCTTTTGGTATGTTTGATTAAAGACAGTGGTTATCAAACTGATCTCAGGATTCCTTTATACTTAAAAAATCATTTAGGACTCCCAAAATTTAACCAGGACTTTGTTTGTATTGATTATTATATGTTACTGAGAAATTTTTAAAATATGTAGTTATTAAATATGTACTTATTAAGTCATTTAAAGCAACAATGACGCTGTTTACGTGTTAATATAAATGACATAATTAAAAATAATGATATTGTTTTACGTTTTTACAAATTTATTTTAATGTCTGTATTCAATCTGTTGTGATATATTATTTTGATGAAAGTATATAAAATGTGGCCTCTCAAAGGGAGAGGGAGGACCATTTAATAGTCTGTTCAGACAATTGTAGATGTTTTTCTTGGATATTATACCAAACTCCAACAAGTGATGGTTTGTTTCTTTTTCTTTTTCTTTTTTGAGACAGACTCTCTGTGACCCAGGCTGGAGTGCAGTGGTGCCATCCTGGCTCACTACAACCTCTGCCTCCTGGGTTCAAGTGATTCTTATTCCTCAGCTTCCTGAGTAGCTGAGATGCACCACCATACCTGCCTAGTTTTTGTATTTTTAGTAGAGATGAGATTTCACCATGTTGGCTAGGCTGGTCTCAAACTCCTGACCTTAGGTGATCCACCTACCTCGGCCTCCAAAGTGCTGGGATTACAGGCATGAGCCACCACACCCAACCTGATAGTTTCTTAAATGTAAGTTTTGGAAATGGTAGTTTAAGACATGAGTTTCTTAAATGTCCGTGCAGTGTGGAAACTGAAACCGTATCAATGGACTTTTCTTACTCTCTTACATTAAAACGCATTAGTCTAACTTGTACTTTAAATGAATCTTTTACTTCATGCGTGATTTTCTAACACCATGCATTTGTTTATTTGGAAAATATAGGTTGATTGAGTTATAGAGATCTTACAAATCTAAATACATTTCATTATATAATATCAACAAATCAGATTTGTTGATAGACAGACAGACCTTATCAGAAAAGTGAATACTGGGAGGCTGTCAAGCTCATGGTGGTAGCTGTTTCCGGATTCTTATCTTCACTTGGATGGTCGAATTTTGTTGCAACACATACTGATTATTTTCTCTGGAGTGACAGGCTTACTTTGTTCATTTTCAAGTCTGAATTATCACAATTTGTTGGTTATTCTTTTGAGTAAAAATGGTGTTATTTTGATTTTAAAAAGTGGCTAGTTCATCTCATACCTGAAGCAGATGCACAAGTGGTGTGTTTTTATTTTTATTTTTGTTTTTGTTTTCAAGACAGGGTCTTTCCCTGTCACCCAGGCTGGACAGCAGTGATCACAGCTCACTGCAGCCTCGACCTCCCAGGCCTAAGTCATCCTCCCACCTTAGCCTGCCAAGTAGCTGGGACTACACGTGCATGCCACCATGCCTGGCTAATTTTTAATGTTTTTGTAGAGATGGGATCTGTGTTGCTCAGGCTGGTCTTGAACTCCTGGGCTCAAGCATTCCTACTGCCTCAGCCTCTCAAAGTGTTGGGATTATAGGCATGAGTTACCATGCCTGGCCTTAGGTGCTTTTTCCTAGAATCAACCATCATACCTCAAAATACAGCAGAAGTGCTTTAAGTATACTTTCCATTTTCTCACACAGAATATTAAAAAATTTCTACTGCTTCTTCAAGGTTATTCTTAAGTGAAACTGGCTTTCTTTTTTATTTTTTTAACTGTATGTGGTGGGGAAGAATATAGTGCCTGCTGGTAGTTTTTGATGCCATTGTCTTGCTTCATGCTAAGGCACCAGCAGTTTTACTCACCATTGCTTTTGCATCATTAGTGTAAATGTCAATACAATGAAAATGCAAGTAATGTCTTAATATTATTATGAAAATCCTTTGATTTGGATAATTCTACCTGAGCTGAAGTTTTAGCCTTGTTTTTTAAAGGAGGGGATTAAAAGGCAAGTTTTAAAAAGGGAGTCTCATTTGTTTCTTGGTCCTGAATTATCCCAATGGTTTTGTAACCATCGAAGCCTTGATAATGATTACCATTTTCACATGTGGACCTTCTACCACATTTTTATTCTGTAGCTATGCCAAGACCTTTTCGTTTTTTTAGATCTCATTGCTGTTCGTGACTGTTTCTTTTAGTCTTATGGTAAGCCTAAAGCCTTTATTCAAAAAGTTTCTGCTGTCTCCTAATTGCTGCCATGAAATGAGCAGATGAGACTCCTAACCATCCATAACTGCAAGCATACTTTGCCATAGTGTTTGAAGCCATTCAGAAAATACATGAAAATACATTTTTTCTGTTTGAAATGATCACTCTACCATTTCTCACCAAAGCAAGGTTTATTTAGCAATTCTAGAGTCGTAAACTACAACTTCCCACTGAGAAAAACTGCATTTGATCCTGTGTGATTTTTTCTTTTTTAAATGAATGAATGAATGAATGAATTTTTTTATAATAGAGACAGGGTCTCACTTTGTTACCCAGGCTGGTCTCAAACTCCTGGCTTCAGGCAATCCTCTGATTATTTTCTTTTAAAATTAATAAGCATCTGCGACAAATAGGTGGCAGTGAAATAAAATAAAATTCATGTACAAATCAGTGTTTTGTGACATGCTTTCCTTTTCATAATGATGAAACAGCTTATTCATTTATAGCACTTTAGAAATCACTTTCATAATTAATCCTAATAATACTATAAATAAGATTAAGTATCATTATACGTGAAACTGTGTTTCACAGTTGAGATATTAAGGCATAGAGACATTTAAGGAGCTTGTATAAGATCACAAAGCCTAGAAGTTATGCTCTGGAGACAGAATGGAAGAAATAGAAATTAATGTATTATTAGAATTGCTGGGCATTGTCAATGCCCAGAGCAGCGTCTGGCACATAGTGGAACCCAGTGAATACTTGTCGAATGAATGAACGGACTTTTCTTTTCAGGCATGTATTGATGAAAATTTGGATATGGTGAAGTTTCTGGTGGAGAACAGAGCCAATGTAAACCAGCAAGACAACGAAGGCTGGACACCCCTTCATGCAGCAGCTTCCTGTGGCTATCTCAACATAGCAGAGTGAGTGAGCCTCTGTGTGTGTGGCTTTGCAGTATTGGTAGGAATAGCCTTCATTACTCCTCTATTCTTAGGAATTTGAATTTTATAAATAATTATAGTCTCTCTTTATTACAGATTACAAAAGCAGAAAGTTGAATTATCTTTAAGACATAACTAATACAATGTTTTGTAAAGCTGCTAAATCCATAGTTTTTTGGTTGAAACTTTTTGTTTGCTTCTATTTGCAGGTAATTTATATTTGCTGGGATATGCAGAGGTGGCTGTTCCACTGTCTGGGTTCACTTTCTGAACAACTGTAGCTGGGCATGTATATAGGCAGGCCTGGAGATTTTTTTCTGGATTCTTTGTAAACCTGTTTCATTGTTTTTTTTTGTTTTCTTTTTTAATCAGTGCTTACTACAAATGAAGGTAAAAAATGCCTAGCATACCAGTCATAGCACTCATGTAGTTAATAGCAGAAGAATGAGCCTAAACATATGGAACAAAGGAAAGGTGGGCACTGGCATGTGTTCTCCACATTAGTTGAATGGGAATGTTTAATAAGATACATTAGGAGGTACTATCTCCAGGACAACTAGTTTCCCCTCCCGTGGGTAGAAGAATCCTGACCATGTGGTACCTGAGATATAAGAGGCACTGAATAAATATCTGTTGTTTGAAGGAATGATCGGGGAGTTTAGTTTTAAACAAGGAAGAGACTTTGGCAGTCGAAACATCTTTAAAATGAGGCAGTTGAGCATATTCTAGATGAGGGTAAATTTATATTGTTAAGGTAAATTCCCTAAATAAAATCATGATATTCTATGCTCCTTTGAAAATCAGATTGCTTGTTTGAAGGCCCTTTTCAATGATATGAGTAGAACTCCATTACATTTCTCCTGTTCAGGAAACAGCAGGGAGAATTTTGTTGGCAGCTCTGTAGAGGCCTAAGAATGACTTCCCACAGAATCTGATTTGCCCAGGTTTCCTAAGGGAGAGTCTGAGTTGCTAGGTTTGCTGCTGACCCAGGGATGCTCAGTGGGAGAAGTTAGACAAAGGGAGAGTCAGAGCCAGAGAAACTTTAGGCAGCAGTACTGGTGTTTGACTGGGCTACTTGTTCTAAAAAGTGGATGACTGGGTTGGCCCCAAAGCAACCAGAAGTAAACAGTGCAGTGTTCTTCACTCTTGATTCCTCCCTCTGTTCCAATTTAGTAAAAATCAGTAACCTCTTCATCCCCTAGGTTGCCCATTTTCAGAGTCTAACAGGAAGAAGGGCTCTTATTCTCAGTCTTATCCAGTAACGCCAGAATTCTGATGCCTAAGAGTTGAGGTGATTTTACTTAAAACATTTATTTAAGAAACATTTATAGAACATGTTGGCCTTTCAATTGCTATTTGTTCAGGTGGCACGCTTGTGATATTCGAGCTACCAAATCTCATTACATTCAAGGATTCAATTTTTTCCTAAGTTTTTTTCTTTCACTTTTCTAAGGAGAGCACATGCTTAGAATTAGGATCACTTGTGCTGGCATTATCCTCCTGTGTGTGAAGCTAAGTACAGAGAATGATTGTAATTGCTTTTTTTTTTTTTTACAGTGATTTCTTTAATTCATCCTTATGAACAAATATAATTCTTCTGGAAGTAAGTTCAAAATGTAACAATCTCTAGCTCAGACAAATATTACCTTGTATGAAATAAATCTGTGAGAGCTACTATTTCCTAAGACAAATTATTACAAATTAAACTTGGAAGTATGACCAGGAGAGAGGTGATCTAGACCAGAATACATTGCAGAGGTGGGGTGGTGGTAGAGATGGCCTTCTTTATTTTATTTTTCACTATACATATCATTATTAGACAGGTTTTGACTTTACTGTCATTTATTTATTTGCAGTATGTAGCTTTTATATATATATATATACACACACACACACATACATACAAACACAATGGAAAAAAAAATTGTACTATTCATTTTGGTTGCTTTACCTCAGGGCCAATGGAGAATGTTTTAAATAAGATCAGTCCCTGATCATCTCATCGTTTTTATTTTTGTATCTGAAAGATCTTAGACTTTATGCTCTTATTCCCAGAATCATTAGGAACTCTAAATTTCAAGGGAGTAGAAATGAATAAAGGCAAACTGGCTTTCTAGGAAGAATCCAAGTACATTCTATTTCATGTTTCATGATGATCTTTTTGTCTCAGTATGTTGCATCAAAAGGAGGGAGCTTCAGAGGCTTTTTTCCTCATTTTAAAATGAGTTCAGGCTCAATGCTAGTTAGCTGGGTGTTTTTACATTTTTATTATGAATAATGTTTAACTTAGAAGCAGCGGATTGACCCAAACGTACAGCATTTGGCTTTATAGTTTATTGAGATGCTAATTTATTCTCAGTTTTTGAACATATTTCATTTTCTTTCTTCCTCCCTTAGAATAGTAGCATAAAGACCTTGTATTGGTGTTGAGTTAGGAAGGACAAGAAGGCTTTATTTTCTAGGGGCGTATTTATTGAGCTGTGAGCCTTTGGGCAACTGTAAGGATTCTCAGAGATAAAGTAGAAATTACTTCATAGGTTGATATTTATTCTTGTCCAGGTAAAGGTAAAACTAAAGAGGTTTTTAACTTTTTTTTCCCCCTAAAACTGGAGAAAATGGAAAAACAGAGAGCCAAATTACTTTCTAAAAATTCATCTTCTTGATTGTAGAACATGGGAAAAGCAGGGTCCTGTATACCCAAGTGACATTATGCGTGATCCAGTAGGGATGGAATAGACGTCAGAGTAGAGTGGTTACATATTTCATGTAGTTCAAGCAATATTTATGGAATGCCAAGAGAAAAAAGCAAGTGTCAGATGCCATGGCGATGATAATAGTGAGGAAGACCCAGTTGTTGTTATGAACCAAAACGTATCTGAGACAGGTTTCAATCAATTTAGAGGTTTATTTTACCAAGGTTAAAGACGTGCACCCAGGAGACAGATCTGTGCCTTTCCCCAAAGATCAAGTTGAGAACTTCAATACTTAAAAGGGAAAAGCAGCCTGGAGGGGAAAAGGGGTGGGGGGGAAGGTCACATTCCTGAATTCACAAAGAAAGGAGCGGGTAGGGAAATAGTCAATTGAATGTTCATCTCACGCCCAGTAAATCTCACTTTACTTAAGATAAGGTGAACATAGAGGTGAACGTAGAACTTGTAGAGATATTTAACTTTTTATCTATAGCTATCTGCTTAGGAACAAAAGGTAAGGCAGCTTCTTGCATGACTCAACTTTCAGCTTAATTTTTTTTTCTTTTGGCATAGTGAAATTAGGGTCCCAAGTTTTTATTTTCCTTTCACATTGCATTCAAGTAGCTTTCAGTCTGATGGAACGGTTGCATCGAGGTACAGTGTAAGTCATGACCGAGGTCTAGAATTAGTGTTTGTTGGGGAGGAGAAGAAGAAGGATGGGGTTAAAGGAAGGAAAGAGGGAATTCAGTGTGTGAGAACAGGCAAAGCTTTCATGAAGGCAAAAGCATTTTAAATGAACTTTGAAAGAAGTGAAAGGTTTCTAGAAGGGAAAAGAGAAGGGAGAGAGTTCCACCTAGTTGGAAGAAACAAGCTGTGGAAGAGAGCTGGGTGAGAGTTGATGTGTTTGGGAACAGTAAGTGGTTTAGTTTAATTATAGAGTATAGGGTACACTTCAATCCAGGAAACATTTGTTGAGTGCTTACTATGTGTATTATTTGCATTTTGATATTTCAGGGTTGGGGAGGTGTAGCTGAATATTCCTTTGGCCTAAGGGAGAGGAATCAGAAGAGAGGAGCTATTGAATATGTGGAAATGAAGGGTAATTTATGAATGGAATACGAGGACTTGATAGAATTAAGAATACAAATAGAGGGAGTTAGTTTTGGAATTGAGAAAAGTCTGTCTTCCTCTGAGACTGTAAGGGAAAGAAGGAGATGGTTAAAAGTCAGGTGAATTGTGAAGGCCTTTGAGCTTCATACATGTAGAATGGATCTATAAATTAACAAACATTTGTTGAGGCCCTATTATACCAGGTACTAGGCACCGAGAAAGCAAAAACATGGTCTTACTCTCTATTGATTCTTTTCCCTTTACCAACTTTTTTTTTTTTTTTTTTGAGACAGAGTCTTGCTCTGTTACCCGGGCTGATCTTGGCTCACTGCAACCTCCGCCACCAGGGTTCGCATGATTCTTGTGCCTCAGCCTCCTGAGTAGCTGAGACTACAGGTATCTGCCACCATGCCTGGCTAAGTTTTATATTTTTAGTAGAGACGGGTTTCACCATGTTGGTCAGGCTTGTCTCAAACTCCTGGCCTCAAGTGATCTGCCCACCTCAGCCTCCCAAAGGATTATAGGGGTGAGCCACTGCATTTGGCCCCCTCTACCAGTTCTTTGAATGCAGTGGCCAGTGGCCATATATTATCTCTCTCTCTTTTTTTTTGTAATCTCCTACAGTGTCTAAAATGTGGTTCCTATGGCTGGGTGCGGTGGCTCACACCTGTAATCCCAGCACTTTGGGAGGCCGAGGCAGGCAGATCACGAGGTCAGGAGTTGGAGACCAGCCTGACCAATATGGTGAAACCCCGTCTCTACTAAAAATACAAAAATTAGCTGGGCATGGTGTCACGCACCTGTAATCCCAGCTAATCAGGAGGCTGAGGCGGGGGAATTGCTTGAACCCAAGAGGCGGAGGTTGCAGTGAGCCGAGATTGCACCACTGCACTCCAGCCTGGCCGAGAGAGCAAGACTCTGTCTCAAAAAAAAAAAAAAAGGGTTTCTTGAATATAGTAGGGGACCAGTAAATGTTTATTGAATTGTTGAATGGATTGAAGTCTAATCTGAATTATTTTTCTTTTTCCTTTAAATACTTCTGAGTATTTGATAGAGCTCCTAGCATTATTAGGGTTCTCACTGGCCCAAAAGTGACTTGATCTAGAGAAAAGATGAACTAGATTTAAAGTCAAGACTGGGGCTGTACCCTCTGCCACTTGCCTGCTATGTGATTTTGAGAAAATTACTTAATATGTATGAACCTCAATTTGTTAAAGTCATGGTAATAATACCCACATTGCCTACTTCCTAATGTTGCCTAAGACTTATGATATAATTTTATGTGCTAAGACTTATGATATAATTTTACTTGAAAGTACTTTGAAAATCAAAAAGGATCTATGTAAGGTATTGAATTATCAGACCTTTCTTCTTCAGAATCAAGTCTTCTATTTGGATTTAGAATTTAGTTACTTAACATTTTAATATTTCTTCTTAAATAATTTAGTTTCGTCTTAGAGTAGAGGAAGATTTCATGTGGATGTCTGGTTGATAGGAGACTTTTGTGGAGGCATAATTTAGGCAGATTTATACAAATTTTAATGGACACTTTATTCTTTTATTTTCACACCCACAGCACTACTTAATAAGCTCCAATGTGGCACTGGGAAAGTTTAAGGCTACATGCCTTTTTTATGTTACTTAGAAATTCTCTTGCCATCCACTGGGAGTGAGAGGATGGGAGTTAGTAATATAAGTGTGAAAGAAATCTTGTTTGTTGGCATTGCTGTAGTGAGGAAATAGGGAAGCCTTTAGTCTTAATTACTGAAGTTTAAGGCACGTAGAAACTAATAATGGAATATTAGTTCTCTTAACTGAGACCGTATTTTATGCTCAAAATAGAGACTTCTCTGTGTATTCAATGCCAGATGCATGAGTAACATTTATATTAGATTGACATAAAATATTGATCCTGGATCTTGTCTACAACAGGTATTTCATTAATCATGGAGCCAGTGTAGGTATTGTCAACAGTGAAGGTGAAGTTCCCTCTGACCTTGCAGAAGAGCCAGCCATGAAGGATCTTCTTCTGGAGCAAGTAAAGAAGCAAGGTAACCTCATGGATTGGAGGGGGCCAGGAAAGACTCTCAAACACTGCCATTTACAGAAAATAATCCATTTGCTGTGTAGAGCATTTCACTGTCATATCACAGGAGAGGATTTGATCTGTCTGCACTGCATTAATCATTAATCCAGCATCAAGTATCCTCATAATAACTCACACAAGAGTAGGCCAGATGCCAAAAGGATGACTAATCATTCCTTGTTTTTGCCATTCAGAGGTTGCATACCCATTATACAATTAAGAGTGACCTGATGAGGAGTGTGAACATTTCTTACTGTGTGTATGCATGGTATTGGGATACAGTGTAAATTTGAGAATTGGCCAAATACAGTTTGTGACTTTGCATCTTTTCCCTTGTTGAGAGCTAAAAGTGGTGCTGGTAAAGATATTTATTGTAACTAACCATGAGAATTAGTATGATAATTTGTTAAGGTGAGGAAGCTAACTTAGAATAATATATTCTAAAAATGCTTATTCTTATTTTATAGTTTTAGGAGAATCAATTTCACAGAATAGGATGGAATTCTTCAACCCGGAAGTCCCTGGGTTCTTTTTCCATCACAAAACTCTGTGGACAAGATTTGTAGTGATTTTTTTTTTTTTTTTTAAGTCCTTCTGCTGAACTACCTTACTCACAATCTGCAGTCCATCCCAGAGGATTTAGCTCCAGTGGTCTTTCCCAATTTGAACTTTTAGAACAGTCAGGGCCAATTCTTGCCATGCACATTGTTTACATATTATCCAAAACTGCTTTTGTGCTACAACAGCAGAGTTGAGTAGTAGTGATAGATTGGATGAACCACAAACCTGAAAATATTGGCCCTTTGGAGAAAGTATGTTGATCCTACTTTAATATAGTGATGTTCTAGATCAGTAACTACTTGCTTTTGCTGCCTTTCATGTATTTTTGGGTCCTTTTTTTTTTTTTTTTTTTTTTTGAGACAGGGTCTCACTCTGTTGCCCAGGCTGGAGTGCAGTGGTGTCATCTCGGCTCATTGCAACCTCTGCCTTTCAGGTTCAAGTGATTCTCCTGCCACGGCCTCCTGAGTAGCTGGGACTACAGGTGTGCGCCACCATGCCTGGCTAATTTTTGTATGTTTTGGTAGAGACAGGGTTTCACCATGTTGGCCAGGCTGTTCTTAAACACCTGACCTCAAGTGATCCACCAGCCTCGGCTCGCAAAGTGCTGGGATTAAAGGCATGAGCTATGGCTCCTGGCTTTGTGACCTATTGAATTGAAGAATTTTATGCTTAGCATAACCTCCAGTTTCACTCAGTTTTATCTCCTAACATTTGCTTTAAAATGTACAAACAACTTTAAAAAAAATCAGTTTTAAAAAATAGTTTTGATTGGAGAAACCACTTTTTCTATTTTGATTGCTGACTCTTCAGTGAGGGAGCATACGCTCTTGAAAGGGGTATTTGTATATATGTTTAACTTTGCAGCACTGCTAACACTTCTTTGTGTTTGGAGTACTGATCTGTTTTAAATTGGTTTTAAACTGATCTCTTCACCCCATCCGCCTCCCAAAATCATACAGATAATACTTAGGTATTTGACAGGTTCTCTCTTTTTTTTTTGAGACAGAGTCTCCCTCTGTCTCGCAAGCTGGAGTGAAATGGTGCAATCTTAGCTCACAGCAACCTCTGCCTCACAAGTTCAAGCAATTTTCGTGCCTCAGCCTCCCGAGTAGCTGGGATTACAGGTGCCCACCACTACGCCCAACTAATTTTTGTATTTTTGGTAGAGATAGGGTTTCACCATGTTGATCAGGCTTGTCGCAAACTGACCACAGGCGATCCACCCACCTAGGCTTTCCAAAGTGCAGGATTACAGACGTGAGACACCGCACCCGGCAGGTTCTCTTTTAAGAGCTGAAAGGGAGTAGACCAAGCACAAAGACTGCTAATAAGTGTAAAACTTTTTGAATGGGTATATTTGTATTTGAGACATTTTATTATTTTGTATAATGGGGTATGCCCCACCCTAACCCCTTTTCACTGGCACAGATATTGGAAAGTTATTGGCTAAAGGGAGTAACTCTTGGAGTTTTTTCATGTTTTTAAGGAAAACAAAATCTGCATTCCCTTGAAAGCAGACAGGTTTTTAAACTGCAGATCACCTAGTAATCTGCCCTAGATTATATATATTCAAGTCAGTGTATTTGCCTGTATATGGAAATGAACTTTAGAGATAGTTCAATTTTTAAAGTATATCAATACCTGAAACCAAGATTTTGGATACTAATCCTATGGTATAGTGAGTGGATAGGGACCCAGAAGAAGAATGACACAGAGGGACCCAGGATATCGGAGTTCTAGTGGCAAGCTCTGTCACTAATGTGTTTTGTGGCTTTGAGCCAGATTCCTAATCTTTCTATTTTTATTTCCTCATCTGTTAAACGAAGATTGTAATATCTATTATATTTACATGTTGGGAAACTAAAGTCGTATAACATGTAAAAAGACTTGGAAGTTTATAGCTTTGCACAAATATTATAATGTAAAAATAATGTCCCCTTTGTCTTTATGTTCTGTTGAAAACAATTTTAGGTGCATTCCCTTAATGGATCTGTATCATATAATATTTAACCTCATGATTTAATCCTGGTAAGACTATTAATATGTGTACAAATGCCATTGGTCTCCTAAATTTGATAATTACCCAACTTGATGGCTAAATTGTTATTTGCATTTATATTTATGATGTGCTTTAATCTAAGGAAAATATCCTGTCAAACTTAAGTGGAGCTTTAATAATCCTGGCTGTCCTGGTTTCTGTAGGAGTCGATCTAGAGCAGTCAAGAAAAGAAGAAGAGCAGCAATTGTTGCAGGATGCCCGCCAGTGGCTCAACAGTGGGAAAATAGAGGATGTGAGGCAGGCTCGCTCAGGAGCTACAGCCCTTCATGTGGCTGCTGCCAAGGGCTACTCTGAAGTCCTCAGGTATTGTCCATTTACATCAATCAGGAGTGGTTCACTGGGAGAAGATGAAATGGGTTTTGGAAGCAGAGACTGACTTAGATTTTCCACTATGATGCGTTTTCTTTTTGTTGGTTTGCTCTCTGATTGTACAGTCTTTCTCACATTTTGCTGGTATTCATCCATGGATTGTCTCCCTCCCTCCCACCATTCCTCTAGCTTCTCACTAACATGTATGGTGTGAAACACAGTTGAGGTATATGGTCCTAGGAGGGGACTGTAATACTCGTGACCATTTGTTCCTTTTTGACTTATATAATTTATTTGGTGTCATTAGATTAATTATATAGATCTTGAGTATGCAGTATCCAGCTGGCACAGGATAGCCAAAATTATGTGAGGGATTTGGACTCTACTACTCTGTCTGTCCCATTTTCCCTTACATCCATACATGCTTCCTGTAGCTCTTGGTACTTAATGTTGGCAGGCTTTCCCAAATACTTGAGTTGCCAAAGGCATTATATGTGCAGTTGTTAACTGGACTCTTCCAGTATTTCATATTTCACCTAATACAGGGTTCCTAGTAGGTATAGCAGTGTTTTGGTGCTCCATTTCTGCCTGAGAGTGATATCTGTAAGGGCCCCAATGTAGTTTGGGTCTTCAAGAGTCAAATCTTTTCTCTTGCATGCATACAAGTTAAATTATAGCTTTATAGTTAGCAAAAAACTGGAGTTATGTGGGTATACAGTAAATATAGTGTCCTAGAAAGATCAACCAGAAAGCTAGTTAGGAAAATACCCTGAAGAGAATTAAGTCTTCATTTTATTTTATTTTTTTAAACTTTATTGTTGACACTATTACAGATAGATAGAATGACCACAGCCTATTAGAGTCTTCATTTTATATGTTACTTCTTCCCTGCACTGGAAAATGGAAAATGTACCTTTAACAGAGTTATGTGATTTGGCTAATTGAATTATGCTTTGGTTAATCTTAGGTACATACCTTTCCATATACTCCCCTTGTATGGTATAACATGGATATGCCTGGGAAATATCTTATGACTTTTTCGAGAGGATTGATAAAGATCATCTGTGATTGGTATGCAAAGTAGTAACTATGAAACCCAAACTGTGCCTTAGAGGGCAGAAGTAATCATAAGACCCCTGTGGTTCAGGGCCAAAATCTGAAATATCAATTAGATAATAGTTTATTTGTCAGAAAACTGTAATATAGAGGAGATACATGTCTTGTTTTGGGTTTTCTTTTTAGACTTTTAATACAGGCTGGCTATGAACTCAATGTTCAGGATTATGATGGCTGGACTCCCCTCCATGCTGCTGCACACTGGGGAGTGAAGGAGGCTTGCTCCATCCTGGCAGAAGCACTCTGTGACATGGATATTCGAAACAAACTGGTGAGTGAGCTTGAACCTCTAAAAGAACAATGAGATTGGTGGCTGGGTCTCTAGAATAAAAGGCTTAACATCTCTATTCACTGGCAGTCTGACTGTTCTGGTGAAATATACATCACTGGTAGCTATAATGTTACCCTCCACCACCCTACCTCTGGCCCTATTAACACAGAGTTATGTTTGTTATTTAAAATAAAACTCCATGGACCTTCTGATTGTATTTATGTTCAAGCCTCTAAAACAGGAAAAAAATATATTTGTTCTTGGCAAAAAATGAGCTTTGAGGAGCCTAATGTTACTGTCTATGGTAAGATATGAAAGATTTTATGGTTGCTGTATTCATGTGAGTCATTAAAATGTTATAATGACAAAGATCCTTGAGTTCGGCTGAAAATAGTGTTATTCAGCCTCACTTCAAACAACTTAGAAGCTCTGGACCTCCTATCCCTATGTCTACTGATTTTATTTTATTATTATTATAATTATTTTTGAGATGGAGTCTCACCCTGTTGCCCAGGCTGGAATGCAGTGGCACGATCTTGGCTCACTGCAAGCTCCACCTCTCGGGTTCATGCCATTCTCATGCCTCAGCCTCTTGAGTAGCTGGGACTACAGGCGCACCCTACCACGCCCGGCTAATTTTTTGTATTTTTTTTTATAGTAGAGATGGAGTTTCACTGTGTTAGCCAGGATGGTCTCGATCTCCTGACTTGGTGATCCAACTGCCTCGGCCTCCCAAAGTACTGGGATTACAGGCGTGAGCCACCACGCCCGGCTGATTTTGTTTTAATTAATTTTTTTTCTTTCTTTCTTTCTTTTTTTTTTTTTTTGGTAGAGATGGGGTCTCACTGGTTTCCCAGCTGGTCTCAAACTCCTGGGCTCAAGTGATTCCCCAGCCTTGCCACTTGTAATCCCGAACTCTGTGTTTAAAGAATTTAGTGTTTCTTGTTACATGTCCTCTGTGATAGATGAAGGTATTATCATAATGTATGGTAGACTAATTAGGGAAGCAGTTGCTATTGGAATTAAAGGCAAAAAGTGAATATTGAATAATATTGAGTAATCCCAAAGTGTTGGGATTACAGGTGTGAGCCACTGTGCCCAGCCCATATATGTACTGATTTTCTGGTAGTGCAGAGACATGGCCTTTTAATTAGTAGATATTCTTATCTGTGTCACATCTCTCCCGAACCCAGGTTTCATTCTCAGACTATGGGTCAGGATTCTTAATTATACTGATGCTTCCTAAAAGGAGTAACTTTCTTGTCAGTCCTCCCCTCACTTAAAGGAAGATGATTCCTGTGATTTAATCTTTATTGAACATGTGCCCTGAACCTCCCTCTGAAGTTTTGAAGAGCTCTTTATGGAATTTATCATAGCAATTAAGACCATTTTAGAACAGATACAAGTAGGGATTTCACTTGATTATTTGCCAGGTGGCAATAAGGATTAGAAATGGTGTGATTTCTGCAATACTGTTGTACAAACTCTATATTTAAAGGATTTGGTGTTTCTTGTTATGTGTCCTGTGTGATAGATGAAGGTGTTATCATAATGTATGGTAGATTAGTTTGAAAAGCAGCTACTATTGGAGTCAAAGGCAAAACGTGACTATTGAATAGTTCCCTAATAAAGTCATGTGATTGCTGCTTCTGTTTTCTATCAGTCATGGTGCTCCTTTTCTCTGCTAGGGCCAGACACCATTTGATGTGGCTGATGAGGGTCTCGTGGAGCATTTGGAGATGCTCCAGAAGAAGCAGAATGTGGTGAGTCTCTGATTGGTGCTTTTGAAACTTTTATAATAATTTGCAGTTCACACCGAGTATCTCAATTGCTTGTTTCAGTTATGTCTGCTGAGAGTTGAAATGGACATATCTGCATTCCAGAGATGTTAATTGTTCCCTTCAGGAACTATAAACAGTCTGTTAGAAGAATATATCCCAGAAACCATTATTGCTCAGGATTTTTGCTCATTATAAGATAGCCTTCGAGGAGCTAAAAGTTAAAAACAGCCGCAAAAAACTAATACCCTTGATTTCTAGAAAATGAATGTGATATGTTCAAATCATATGTTTTTCCAAATAGAAAGTACCAGAGTGGAGGACACCTCGTAGCTTTTCTCTTTCTTATTGACTAAAAGACTATCTTTATTTAAACACATTGATTACGGAGAAGAATATATTTATTTCTTAAAAAATAAGGAAATACACACAATACTAAAACTGTCATTTCATATAGAGAGTATTTGATCAGTGATTCATACTTACTCCAGTTTTATGAAACATCCAGAATTCAGTCCTCCTTTCTCTGCTCCTCATTTTGAATCTTTTATTGTTTGGTCATGCATGCCTTTGGCTTAATTAGTGCTATACAGGAGAACTACATAAGTATGGTATTTGTGTTCAGACTGCAGGATGAAAAACTCACCCAATATACAGATGAAGAGTGAATAAGCCATATTTTTTACTCGTAAAGCAGATGAATAATTTGAGTGGGGAGAATAAAGATCAATGACATTAGGGTGGGACATTAGGGGCAAAAAAATCAATGACATTTTTTGTTTTTGTTTTTTCTTTTGCACATGCTGTCTCTCAGGTAATGTAAACTAAAGTTTAAGACACATGTGGAAAACAGCAGTTCTGAATCAAAGAACTATACAATGATGGGACAGATCATACCTAACCTCTGTTGTGTTCAGCATTATGTCTGGTATGGTAAAGTGAAGATTCTGGTTATTTTAAGGCTCAGTGGAAAAGTCACATACATAAAGCTCAGACAAACACAACTTAAAGTTCGTTTTGTTCTCTTTGTTGAGCAGTCAGGATCACTGAAACCAGGATTTTCAAATACAGTGTCAATGCTGTTATTTAGCAACAGCCTTCGTAATTATAAGTTGTATATTTTGCACAGTTAAGTTCTTGTAATTTTATTTTTTACTTTTATTTTATTTATTTTGAGACGGAGTCTCACTCTGTCGGCCAGGCTGGAGTGCAGCGCACAGTATCGGCTCACTGCAAGCTCCGCCTTCCGGGTTCACGCCATTCTCCTGCCTCAGCCTCCCTAGTAGCTGGGACTACAGGTGCCCGCCACCACGCCCAGCTAATTTTTTGTATTTTTAGTAGAAATGGGGTTTCACCGTGTTAGTCAGGATGGTCTTGATCTCCTGACCTTGTGATCCGCCTGCCTCAGCCCCACAAAGTGCTGGGATTACAGGTGTGAGCCACCGCACCCAGCGGTTCTTGTAATTTTAAAAACTTTTTCTGGAATAAGTTTAGACTCACACAGAAGTTGCAAAAATAGAGAGTTCTGTGTATTCTCTACCTAGCATGGTAAGGTTTTTGAACATCAATAGTATTATTCATGAAATAATATTTCTACACCAGTGGGAATGGTACTTATCTTTGCCCTCTGCATAACTTTGAGTTCCAGGGATATAAATACATTTCATCTAGAGCATGCATCTAAATAGCAGACCATTTTCTCTAAGGGCTTATTTCCCATTTGGTACCTGTGTTTTCTTTAGAAATATTGCCAACTTATTTCAGTATATGAATCATAAAGAATTCTTTCAGGTTCCTTTTGGCTTTTTATCCTTCAGAATCTAGACTTTTTTTTGAAGATTGGGTTTGGATATTTGATAGGAGCAGTTTTATTGAAGTTCTTAACACCATGACTTTTCTCTTCTACCTTGGATGAGTTCTGTCATCTAAGGAGACCCAACTGATATGTTTCTCTTTTTCTCGGGTTCCCCACTACCTCTTTGGTGTTGGTCCTATTTTCTTCAAGATGACAGTATCATTTTGGTTCTCAATACTGCTGATTTTTCACCAATAGTCAACTTCTTCCCTTTTCTCTCTGTTTTCTCCGTTTCCAGCTTCGAAGTGAAAAGGAGACACGGAATAAACTCATTGAGTCAGACCTGAACAGCAAGATGCAGAGTGGGTTCTTTAAGAAGTAAGACATTTAGGCTTGAGTAGTGGGATGAGCTTTGCTCTGTGTCAGTGACATACTTAACTTCAGAATTTATAAAGTGAAGAAACTCTGTGTTTGTATTTAGCCACATGATCTATAAACTTGTGGGAAAGTATGTGGAACAAGAGAGCGGCATTGATATGTGAGGGAGACACTTAGGAAGGTTGACTGTGTTTTAAACTTCAGAATTAATTTAGACTGTGTGCAGCATTTCAGCATTTAAAAATCCTGGCTTAGGCATTCTTAGTCTCAACTTCTGCCTCTGCTTACTGTAAGTTTCGTGAACTCAGAGACAAGGAGACAATGTCTATTTTGTTTATGACTATACCAGTGCCTACCGTGATTCCTGGCATGTAATAAGTACTCAGTAAACGTTTGTTAAATTATTTTTTTGAATGTTTATCCACCGTCATCAAAATTCATAGCTCTCCTTTTTTCTGTGTGTTAAACAGGCCAGATTTCCTTGAGCCATACTCTGTAGTAAAATACTAAATCTTAGTCTGCAAAAATGAAGAGTTTGGAAGAACACACAGATGTAAAGAAGAATTTGAATGTGTTTCTGTTATTGCTTCCACATACAGGTTTATAGACTTGTTGCCTTTATTATACCTGATTATCACTTCTGAGTTACACTCAAGTTGTCATCTTTAATTTAGCAAAGAGAAGATGCTTTATGAGGAGGAGACACCTAAGTCCCAAGAAATGGAGGAAGAGAACAAAGAATCTAGTAGCTCCAGCTCAGAGGAGGAGGAAGGTGAAGATGAAGCTTCTGAGTCAGAAACTGAGAAGGAGGCAGGTAATGCAAAGATGTTCATAGTAAAGACCCTCTGTCTCCATAGTGTAAGGAGATTACTCGTTGTCAGAGAGCTAGCCAGGCCTCACAGGACTCCAAAAAGAGCTTGAAGTTTAGTTTTCAAGGATAAGATATAAAATTGCCGGTGACCCCCTTATATAAAAACTGTGAGCTATGTTAGACTATATCTACCAATTCCTGTGTAGCCATAGGATAAGGTGCACAAAGAATTCTTAGGTGCATGCTGGGTACGGTGCCTCAGCACTTTGGGAGGCCAAACAGGGTGGCTTGCTTGAAGCCAGGAGTTCTAGACCAGCTTGGCAACATAGCAAGACCCTGTCTCTACAAAAAAATTTAAAAAGAAAAAAATAATAATTCTTATGTGAGGAATCCAATTCTCCTTACCCTGGGTTGGTAGATGGCATAGAAACCAAAATCCAAAAGTCAGTATGCTGAGAGGCAGAGAAGATGAGATCTTTCAGAAGCTCTTAGGGTCAAACCAACTGGTGAATACTTGCATTTAATTCTCAGGTTTGCCTGATTTCCTAAACAGAATCCTAAAATCTTTTTTTCCCTCTCGTGAGTTGGGGAGTGAGGAAGGAAGAAAATCATATTTACCTTTATGGCTATTATTGATAATATATACCTCATGTAGGGCTTCCTCTTTTTTTTTTTTTTTTTGAGACAGAGTCTCGCTCTATTGCCCAGGCTGGGGTACAGTGGTATGATCTCAGCTTACTACAACCTCTGCCTCCCAGACTTAAGTGATTCTCATGCCTCAGCCTCCCAGTAGCTGGGACTACAGGTGTGCACCATCATGCCTAGCTAATTTTAGTATTTTTAGTAGAGACAGGGTTTCACTGTGTTGGCCAGGCTGGTCTCAAACTCCCGACCTCAAGTGATCCGCCTGCCTTGGCCTCCCGAAGTGCTAGGATTACAGACATGAGCCACCGCACCTGGCCCTAGAGCTTAAGTTTATTGTTTGACAAGACAGGAACCCCAACAGTGAGTGAGCTGTTGAACATGGTCAGACCAACAAGCTAGAAAATAATCCACAAGTTTTGATTTATAGTCAGGCAAACACTGAGAAAAGAATAGTGTACCTATGCCCCACATTCACTGCCATATTAAGATGAAATGTTTCTGCTAGAGGGGAAAGAGTCACACATTATGTTTACAATGGAGTCTGTGTTTTCCTCTGAACTCTGCCATGGTTGTCCTACCTATAATATATATATAATTTAACTTACTCTGTTGTCTGGGCACCAGTTCCTCATGAGGTCTGGCTTTGCTGATATGATTTCTCTCCATGATGGGAGAATACTACCCTTCTTCATGTCTTAGTCTCTGAGGCTCACTGAATGTCAGTCACCAAAAGGAAGTCAGAGAACCATCCAGTTCTACAGAGAAGAAAGGCACCAGCTAAGTTTACAATATAGGAGTTGACCTTTTATTCATTGAGACTTGAACTTCTATTATTTATCATGCACAGTATGCTCTGGAAATGTTATTGTAGTACCTATAAGAATTTATAAATGTGCATCTTTTTGATATTTTATTATTTATTGAGTACTTACATGTTCTAGGCTTCAAATATTTGGAACAAATATCTGAACTTGCTCTATTCTCGATTACTTTTGTTAGTTGCTAAGGTATGAGAAAAATGGGAGGGAGCTGCCTGAATGACTGTCATTGCTTTGTGATTTGTACCCTTGCCTTAGATCTCTTATTCTCTGTAGCCCGTCTTCACATTGCTATTGGCATAAACACCCACAGTACCCTTTTGATTATGCTACACCTCTGTTTAAATCTATGACCACCTCCCTCACTCTATCTTTGCCTACAGAGTAAATAAACCCCAAGCCCCATAGTCTGGCCTTCAGGACTTTTCATAATCTAGCTCCAGCTGACCTTTCCAATGCTGTACATAGATAAGGACACATTTTGGCCAAGTTGGACTGCTTAATTTCCTCAAACATGCCCTGAGCTTTCCTTCTCCTGAACATTTGTACCATTTAAGCCTAAATTCATTTCAGGCCATTAATGCTCATTGAGTGATTTCTGTAGAAAACTATAGGATCTAGCAGGTTGAAAAAGTCTTTCTTTAGGTTTTTCTGGTATAGGAAGCTGAAAGGAAATGGGCCACCTCACTGTTCTTCTACCCCATGATTGTTCTCTGTTTATGTCCCTCTAGCACTGCCTACTTAACTCTGCTGTAGCACTCATCATTTTGGCTGGGAACTCTGGGTTCATTGTTGAACTCCCAGATCTCAGCTCAATGCCTGGTACATAACAGGCATTCACATTCATTAAATGTTTTTTGTTGAATATATCTAGTCAGGGAATAGAAAGGTGTATACATGAATAAAATACATGTCACATGAGAGATGTAAGTGTAGTCAATGGTATTCACTAGTCAGAAACATTATATCTAGTTCAGGGAATTACAATAAAACTTTATATTTGTATAGTGCTTTTTACTTTGCACCACACTTAAACATTTTTCTTTAATCTTCACAGCCACACTCTGAGGTATATGTTATTATCACTACTTTTTAGAATGGGAAATTGACACTGTAGGAGGTTAGGTGAGTTAGGTTTCATAACTGGCAAGTGGCGTGCCTAAGATCTGGACTTTGATCTGGGACTCCTCAGATTAGTAGGGACCCAGGTGGAAATTATCTGCATAAGAAGTGAAGGGTAAAACTGTAGAAAAGGATGAGATCCCCAAAGGACAGATTATATATGGATTTTATATATGATATAATAACGTGGAGATAGTTTTCAGTTTTTATCTGAAAGTTGGAGTTGGAGCCTACCAAGATGGGAATAACGTGGAGTTTATTTTCTTCTGCCAACAGTTGCAAGAGATCTTATGTTAGTTTACATCCAAGCATTACAAGGCCTTAATAATCTGTTTTGATAATGGGCAAATCTTTTCTATTAGCAGAAAAGGACATAGACACAAAGATAAGATTTTTATACTAGTAGTTGTTAATTCTCTTGTCTTAAATAACAGGTAAAAAGCCGGAAACCTTTGTCAACCATTCCAACTCCGAAAGCAAGAGTAGCATCACGGAGCAGATACCAGCACCAGCTCAGAATACCTTCTCTGCCTCTTCTGCTAGGAGGGTGAGTACTTTTTGCTTAATTTGGGAATTAGATTTTACCCTACTACAGTAGCACACATCCAGAAAGGCCTTGAAGGTACATTCTTGCAAAATAATAAAAAATACATTTTTGCCTGTCGTAATCGCCTCCTATAACAGAAAACACAGGCTGGGTGGCTTAAACAACAGAAATTTATTTCTCACAGTTCTGGAGGCTGGGAAGTCTCAGATCAAGGTACCAGCCAATTCAGTTCCTGGTGAGGGCCCTCTTTCTGACATGAATATAACCACCTTCTCGCTATGTCCTAACATGGCAGAGAGAAGGAGCTCTGGTATCTCTTTCTCTTCTCATAAGGTAACCAGCCCTATCGGATTAGGGCCCCACCCTATTAACCTCATTTAACCTTCATCACTCCTCACAGACCCTTATCTCCAAATATAGTCACACTGGGAATTAGTGCTTCAATATATGAATATTGGGAGGACACAAACATTCAACCCATAACATTGCCGCCCAAAATCTATAAGGTCATTACCAAACAAATTTGGCTACCATGTGTTAAGATAACATAAGATAGAGTAGTCCGAGGCCAAAGAGATTTTGTCATTTGCCTCTTTTCTTTGTATCTGAAGTTAAGATGCCTACATGTAAAATGTGGACTGGGCTAGAAGATACCTAGCATCCAGTATTCATTGTTTTGGTGATTATTCTCCTTTTTATGTTTCTCCTTTAAGACTTTCATGAGTAAAGTCTTTATACCTTATGATGAGTAGAGGGCAGATGTAGAAATAACTTGTTGAAATACCAGAGGCACGTCCTCCTGTAACTTTGTGCAGGCCTCTGAGAATCTGTAGGCTTCTAGTCAGTGAGACTGAGTTGAATGATGACCCTGCTCTACAAAGTATAAAAGTTATTTTGAGGTTAAGAATTGATTTGAGTTGTTTGGAGTGAAGCTGTTGAAAAAGCTCTGTGGTTATATAGGTATGAACTTAATGATCTTCTTAGCACTTCATGAATTGGAAAGATAGGCTTGTGGTATTCTTGTGGAAATGAGAGAACAAAGGCCTGGCTACTTATTTATCCCTAGAAGCATCATTGTGAATAATTAAAGAGGTTTCCAATAAATGTAATCTCACTCATTAATTCAGTCATTTAGGTGTACCTCATATACTGCCACTGCTTCTAAGGATGCCTAGACTTCCTACTTTTTTCAATAGAAAAATACTAAATTAGACAGGTGCAGTGGCTCACACTTATAATCTCAGCACTTTGGGAGACCAAGGTGGGCAAATCACTTGAACCCAGGAGTTTGAGACCAGCTTGGGCAACATGGGAAAACCCCATCTTTAAAAACAATAAAGCAATTAGCCAGGCATGGTGGCATACACCTGTAGTCCCAGGAACTTGGGACTGGGAGGCTTAGGTGGGAGGATCACTTGAGCCCGGGAGGTCAAGGCTGTAGTGAGCTGTGATGGTGCCATTGCATTCCAGCGTGGGCAACAGAGTGAGACCCTGTCTCAAAAACAACAACAACAACAGCACCACCACCACCACCACACACACACACACACACACACACACACACACACACACACACACAGATACTTATTCTACTTTGCTAAAATGATGCTGGGGAAGGCATTTTCCCCCTTAGAATCAGAGTAGCTTGTAAAAAGCTGACATTATTGAACCCCTAAAGCTGGAAGGAGTACATACATGTGTACATTCGGATGACTGATGAAAAGAGAAAATCTTATGTGAGTTGGAGATTAGTGATTAATAGTTTTATTTATTTTCACCGTATCAGGCAGTAAAGGTAGCCTCAGGCAGTAAAGGCCTAAGTCTTCTTGAAAAGGTCTTGGACCTCAGGAAGGGTCTGTTGGCTTGTGTTCCAAAGACTAGTTGTACCCCAAACTGGTCCTTGGCCTAATGCTGATCTATGATGTTTCCCTAGTTTATGGCAAAATGAGATAATTAAGGACAATGTAAGCTTTCCATAAAGCTTTCTTTTTTGATATTAACATTTCATTTTTAATGAAATGGTGGTGATGATGAGTTCAAAAAGAAAACATCTTTCAGAATGTTGTTTTCTTTTGGCAAAATTAAATTTAAAAGATAAAAAGATAGCAACCCTTTGACCTCTAGTTTTATGGGTTTTTTTTTGTTTTTTGTTTTTTTTGCGGGGTCTGCTCAGTGAAATCTAAAGCTCTCTAAACTGCTACTCTAGATCAAATAAATTTCCTTGAAATTAGCAGAATTTAAGTGGAGTGGCTTCTAGAATTTTTATCAATGTTAACTTAAATCACTTTATCATAGTACCTTAAAATGTATTTATAAATTAGCCTGTTCCTGGCTGGACATGGGCTCATGCCTGTAATCACAGCACTTTGAGAGGCTGAGGTGTGAGGATTGCTCGAGTTTAGGACTTCGAGACCAGCCTGGGCAACATAGGGAGAACTTGTTTCTATTAAAATTTAGAGAAAATTAACCAGGCATGGTGGTATATGCTGGTAGTCCCAGCTACTTGGTGGGCTGAGGTGGGAGGATCGCTTGAGCCCAGGGGGTCAAGGCTGCAGTGAGTTCTGATTAGGCCACTGCACTCCAGCCTGGGCGACAGAGTGAGACCCTACTTCAAAAAAATAAAAATAAAAGATAAATTAGCTGGTCTCATTTTTTCCAGTCTCCACATATTATAAGGGACTAAGCTCATTATCGTCATTTTACAGGTGAGCATGTTGAGACCTAGAAAAGTAAAGTATCTTATTTTCAGTTCCACAGTGAGTTAGAAGAAGATACATTACTCGAATATAATCTCCTGGTGTTCCAGGTCAGTATTAATTGCACAAGGATAGCAAATGGTGTTTAATTTCTCGTAACAACTCTGTCAGGTAGGAGCACTGTGTGAAGAATCCGAGGCTATTTTTGACTTAGGAAGAAAGAGCCTGGAGAGGTTATTAGTGTTTGCCGGGTGAGGGAGGGAACATTGGCAGAAAGACTGCCCTGTATTTGTTCTTAGCTACCTTATGTTGCCTCGCTGAACTTAGTTAAGTGTGGAAAAGGCAAATAGGCTGAAAAAGAATCATCAGAGCCTTTATTTTTCATTTCTTTTGCTTCTCTCGTAGTTCTCTTCTGGCCTTTTTAACAAGCCAGAAGAGCCCAAAGATGAATCTCCTTCTTCATGGAGATTGGGACTGAGAAAAACTGGCAGCCACAACATGCTGAGTGAGGTGGCCAATTCCAGGGAACCTCTAAGGGACCGAGGCTCTTCCATCTACCGTTCCTCTTCAAGCCCTCGGATTTCTGCTCTACTAGACAACAAAGATAAGGTGCAGTTTGGGAGGGTATGGGGGAATTCCAATGCAGTTTTTTTTTCCATGAAAATTCAATCTTAGGAACAAATGAAAATATTTTCTAGTCCTTAAGTTGATTTTGGAAATGCAAAGCCTTTAAAGGGAGACAGGCACACTGATAGTTTAATCAAGTAGCTGTTTGCTTGCTATTATTTACTTGGCCAAAAAAAAAAAACTTTAAAAATAGCTTTTCCTTTTGGTTCGTTCAGTCTTCCTTGCCCCCTTACCTAAAGCAAAAAATAGATCAGAAACATAAAAATTTCAATATGGCGGAGGGGGGCACAGGACCGCAGGCAGGGGTCCTGGAGCCAGAGGGCCAATTCCTATCCCCTCAGCAGCATGGCATCGTGTGCTGAACCCTCTGAGCCCTCTGCCCCCGCCTCCTGCCAGGGTCCCACTGCTCGAGGACTTCGAGGTGCTGGATGGGGTCGAGAATGCAGAGGGCAAGGAGGGAGAGGAGGAGGAAGATGACCTTAGAGAGCTGCCACTGCTGGAGGACATGGGACAGCCCCTGGTGGAAGAGACTGAACGGCCCGGGACCTTGGCCCGAGAGTTCCTCACTGCCATGGAGCCTGAGCCTGCCCCGTCCCCGGCCCCAGAAGAGTGGCCAGACATAACCAGCTGTTGAGGAAGAAGACGCTTGTCCCAGGGCCACCGGGTTTGAGCTGCCCAGTCAAAGGCCAGGTGGTCACCATGCATTTGCAGACATCACGAGAGAATGGCATGTGGGTGCAGGAGGAGCCGGAGCTAGTGTTCACCCTGAGCGTCTGTGAGGTCATCCAGGCCCTGGATCTCAGTGTCTAACTCATGGACGTGGGGGAGGCAGCCATGGTCACTGCTGACTGCATGTACTGCTACAGCCCCCAGGACAGGAGCCCATACATCCCCTGCACGCGGCCCTATGCCTGGAGGTGACCCCGAAGATGGCCGTGGACTGGCCTGACCTGGAGATGCTCATAGGGCAGGAGCGCGTGGCCTTGGCCAACCGGAAGTGGGAGTGCGGCAGTGCCCACTACCAGTGGGCGGACTTCGTCCTGGCCACCAACTCCTATGACCTTGCCATCAAGACCGTCACCTCCAGCGCCAAAGTGGACATGACGTTCGAGGAGGAGAAGCAGCTCCTGCAGTTGAGGGTGAGGTGTCTGAACAACCTGGTGTCCTCACAGGTGAAGCTCGACCACTACTGTGCAGCCCTGCGCTCCTGCAACCTCGTTGGAGCACCATCTGGACAACATCAAGGCTGTCTTCCACAAGGGCAAGATACTGCCCCAGCAGGGTGAGTACAGTGAGGCCATCCCTATCCTGAGGGCGGTCCTGAAGCTGGAACCTTCCAACAAGACTATCCACGCAGAGCTCTCGAAGCTGGTGAAGAAGCACGCAGCACAGCGGAGCATGGAGACCGCTCTGTACTAGAAAATGCTGGGCAACCCCAGCCGTGCCCCAGCAAGGGTGCCTGGTCCAGCCCATGGAAGTGGCTGTTTGGGGCGACTGCTGTTGCTTTGGAGGGTGTGGCACTTTCTGTGGTAATTCCTGCCAGGAACTGACCGCCCAGGTGGCCACACCCCGTCTGCACACCATGGACCCTGCCCTGCGCTCCCTAACTCCCCCAGGCTCCCTGTCCACTGCCCTCCCTGGTCCAGCTGCCTCCTCCGAGTTGGAGGCAGCAAGGATTGGGGGTCGTGCAGCCCAGCCAGTAGGAGGGACTGAGGCCCTCTAGGAGGAGTGCTTAGAGCAAGGGGGCCCTCATTCCTTCAGACCCAGTTTCCCCCCAACTCCCCTTCTCCCGCTGGGCTAGGTCTCCGCTGGGGCTGGCCTCAACTTCTCCTCAACAGGCTTGGGGGCAGCCCCTGCTGCCTTGCCTGCCCCACGCTGTCTAGGCTGCTTTCCCGCCACAGTGAAATAAAGCCTCCTACCCTGCAAAAAAAAAAAAAAAAAAAAAAAAAATTCAGTATGGCCTAAGAGGTTCTCTGGGCTTTGAATCCAAATTAAGCTCAGGCAAATTAGTACTTGGAAAAATAATTTTTAACTTGTCATTCATTCATTAATATGGTTAGGCTAACTTCACAAATAGTTTGTATATTCATTCAAGATTAGTAAATTTTTATTTTCTTCACTCTTTAGTTCCAGATTTTATAGGACTCTCTTAGTGCTTTTCTCTGGGGTCACATCTTCCTTTTAATCACAGTCCTCTTGCTTTATACCTCTGGAGACTACTCAAAGAGATGAGGCATATTGGTTGGATTAACTCTGCAGCATACTATTGTACATATTCCTAAGGAAGCTGTATTTCAAGGAAAAGATGTACTGGGGACTACTGGGGACTACATAAATCTTATTTCATCAAGAATATTAGAGTGGAGCTTTCTGTTTGTGGCTTTTCAAAGGCTCTCCTCCTCTCTTGGCAGAGGTGCTGCTTTGTGTAATTTGTGCTGCTGTTTTCTTTATTTGCTCATCCTTACTTTCCCATGAGAATTATTTCCCTTCATACTGTTTTTTAATGGAAGAAAGTTAGGAGTAAGCTTTTGAAAGCTAACCTTTTGTAAATACCTCTCAAAATAGAATTAGTGTTGGATCCAGAAATAAGATTATATAGGTATATTAAGTTCTGCTTTTTTACTCAAAATGTTTTACAGTGTGCCAGTATTGTACTTTTCTTGTGCTTTACTTCTTTTTATTTTACAGGAGAGAGAAAACAAAAGCTATATTAGTTCACTAGCACCCCGGAAGCTCAACAGCACAAGTGATATTGAAGAAAAGGAGAACAGGTAATCCTAAAACCAGCCAAAAGATGGTCCTCGTCCTCTTAGGTCTGCTGGACATAGTCATCTCCTGGGCATTACTCTTCTGCATTTTTCCCTCATTTCCTTACCACATTATGAATTGTTTGTTCCTTCTGCTTAGAACACCTCTCAACTCTTATATCCTTGCTTTGCTAGTTCTTTATTCTTCAAATTCTAACTCCAGCTTAGACATTACCTTCTTTAGGAAGTCTTCCCTGATTTTTCCACACATGCATTAGTTTTAGCCCACCAGCAGGCTTTGTAAAGGTAGGGTCTGTGTCTGTCTGGTTTCTCAAGGACCCCTAGTTCCTAGCACAGTGCCTAACACATAGTGAACACTAAAATAATGTTATTTAATTAAATTGACCAACTTCTAATTTGTCAGAAGGTAAAATTAAAGGTCTTCCTAATTAGTTAAATATAGGGATTTTGAAGTATTGCTGCATCTCTGGGCAAAATGTGATCTCAAACTTTAGCAGCATTGGCATCACCTGGGTACATTTTATTTTTATTAAAAAAAAATTTTTTTTAATAGAAGCAGGGTTTTGCTATGTTTCCCAGGGTGGTCTCAAACTCCAGGCCTCGAGTGGTCCTCCTGACTTGCCCTTCCAAAGCACTGGGATTGTAGGTGTGAGCCACTGCTCCTGGCCCGGGTTCATGTTAGGACTCCAGAATCTCAGGCCCTACTCCAGATCTACTGAATTAGAATCTGCATTCTAATGAAATTCCCTAGGTGATTCAAATATTAATACACATTAAAGTTTGAGAAGGATTGTGCTAGAGAATCTTGTGAAGCATGGAAACCCATAGGTTTTGCAGCAAAGACCCTGAGTTATCAATTGTGGATCAAAAATCCTAGTACAGCACTTTCCTGGATACCTTTTCATTTATAATGCTAAAGAGGCTTCCAGCAAGTCTTCCTTCCCCTTCCCCTTCCCCTTCTGTAATAACCTTTTTTTCTCAGTAACTTCTTCATCTTCCCCCATCATTTCCTTCTCTGCTTAACTTAAAAGCCACCTACTACTAAGACTAATTGCAACACACTTTTTTCTTTTCTTTTTTTTTTTTTTTTGAGACAGAGTCTCACTCTGTCGCCCAGGCTGGAGTGCAGTGGCACGATCTTGGTTAATTGTAGCCTCTGCCTCCTGGGTTCAAGCGATTCTTATGCCTCAGCCTCTCGAGTATAGGCATGTGCCACCATGCCCGGCTAATTTTTTTGTATTTTTAGTAGAGATGGGGTTTCGCCATGTTGGCCAGGCTGGTCTTGAACTCCTGACCTCAAGTGATCTGCCTGCCTTGGCTTCCCAAAGTGCTGAAATTATAGATGTGAGTCACTATGCCCAGCCGCAAAGCAGTTTTTAAGTGAGGATCAAAAGTGACTTCTTATTACAAAAGAGTTAGAGACCTTTGACATGAGGAATTTGGTACCTGTTGAAATTAATTGGTTCAAAGTTGATAAAAGAAAGCAGGCAGTAATACTTCTCTTCTGTACAGAAAACAGGTACATAAAACAGAATCACCTGAAGAATGTGTCTATTAGCCATGTTATAGTTTGCCTGTTTGTCTCTTCTCTCTCTGTTTGCATTGTATCATGGACAAAAACTGGTGGTAGGAATCAGTGTTTTGTTTTCCTTTCATGCTTCTACAGAGAATCAGCTGTTAATCTAGTGAGGAGTGGCTCCTATACCCGGCAGCTATGGAGGGATGAAGCAAAGGGAAATGAAACCCCACAGACAATTGCCCCCTCCACCTATGTATCAACCTACTTGAAAAGGTACCAGGCTCAAAGGGGGTGGGAGATGTTCCTTTCACTCTAGCCATGGGAATATGGGTAAGGATTGCATGCCTTTTTATGTCCGATTAACACCACAGAAATGAATCAAAATGAATTACTTTCAGGTTTCTTAGAATTAACATGTTGAATAATTTAAAATTAAAATTAATTTATTCTCTTAATAATTGAATTAAAGTAAGCTAATTTCAGATTCTCACTACTGGCTTCATACTTCATCCTCTCCATTCTATTAAAATTTTCAGTCAGAAGTGGCTTTCAGTAATGTCTGGGCAAGACTGAATTTAAGTTATCCTTGTCCAGTAGCTGGTTCTCCTTATTCTGAAACAGAGTAGTTCTCATCCCATGTGCTATTTTTAGGGGGAGAAAGGGAGGGATACTATAAAGTGGGGAGGGATGGGAAATGGGGACAGTTTTCTATTGCATTAAAGAAGTTTCATACTGAAGCCTGTTAATTTAGGGACTTGAGTTGTTTTTTTTCTTATGACTTTAATGGCCCTCAGATCCATCAAGATGTGAAACTCGCAAGTTTGGTGCAGAGAAGGTACATGGGTTTCCTTCTTTTCTCATCTGTATTCCCTTTCTGCAATTATTTTCTTTGCCACATACTAGCCAGCAAACCAAGCACCTTTGCCAGAGCCATTAAGCTACAAAAATACTTAATATTTTAATTTGAACTTTGCTGCTAATGTGGAAGAATCTGTTTTTTATTGCTTACTTTGAATTCTTTCTTCACTTCCACTTAACCTCTCCCACTATCTTCTCATACCATAGCCTTCATCACTGGGTTTTTTTAGATGATTGGTTGGCCACCTTAGAAACAGGCCCTGGCCATAGACTAGATGAGCACATTAACTCTTTGTAATCAACACTTATTTCCACTTGACAGAAAAACTTGTCAACTAGTTATTGTTGAAACATGGGAAATAGCTAGAAAACAGTCATTGTTGCCTTTTAATGTTCTTCAGTTCTGTAGATACATTCTATAAGAAAAGGCTCAACTTGGGAAGTATGAAAGTTTGATGGACTCACTGATGCTTTATTACACAAAAGAGGTGTTTCTTGCTCTATGAGGCTATCACCTATTTGTCTTAATGGCTAAGGCCTTGGTCTTCCTGGATGCATTATTATTCCTTATAGTTGAATCCAAGATCAAGAAAACTTTTCTGAGAAAATAATGTTCTAGATCAAGGGAAGGGAGAAAGCTGCCATTTAATTTCCAGGCATGGAGTTATTCTGTGGTGAGGTTGTTGATTTTTGTGATCCAAATAATCAGCAAATGGGTTGAGAGGCATTTGGTTTGATAGATGTAGTTTGGCAAAGTTATGGTAAACAGTGAAGGGACAGGCTGCCTCTATTTAGGATCAAAAGCATGCTTAATGATGTGAGCACTTTTTGAGGAAAAGATGTACAACTTGCTTCATATCTTGAATTTCCAAAACTCTTCTCCTGTAACCCTAAAGCATTTTTTGATTTTATAAAAGCCGATCTTATGATTTTTAAAAGGAAAGAATCTTATGCCATCACCATTTAAAAGAGCAAGTGTAAGGAGAAATTTGTCATTTCCCAGCTATGCCAAACCTTCATATACCATTTTCTAGTTCATCTCTTGTGTATAGGCAGAAATTCCTTTCATATAGCCCATATTAAAATACCTCTTTTCCAAGGAAGGCTTTATAGCTTTTTTTTTGGTTATCTCCTCAAGTGTCTCATTTCTATTATAGTCAAGAAGTATTTTTGAAATTTGAACCCAAATAATTTTTTCCTGCAATTGAGATGGTTCTTACCTGTCTTCAATTGAAACAAATAAAAGTTGCCCTTTATTGCTCATACAGTATTACTTTCTAGACTTAAAACTTTAAATCCTCCCAGAGGCAATTTTGCTTTAGGCTGAATAACTGCAGTTCTCAAAGTCACTTTTTTTCACAGAACTTCTTTACCCTTTTCCACTTTTAAATTTTAAATCTCTGCTCCACAACCTCTCCAAATTCTCTGGTCTTACTTTTGCTTTTGCAGTGCTAATTCTGTATCAGGTAGACATTTGGGGTTGCATGATTATTTGCATTGGGTTTGTTGGGAATTATTTTCTTCTAATAAAATTATCCTATTTCCTATTATTCCCTTTCTTAGCCTCTCCTCTTATCATATATTCTACTTTCCTGCTTTCCCTCATTCAGTATCATCTCTCTTCCTCCACGTTCCTTCACTCTTTTGGATGATTGACCAAAAAGACCATCCTTCAAAGAGTGATGATTCCTTCATTCTTTTGGATGATTGCCTGCTTGCTGCCAGTGACTCAGCTCTAACTGGAGTTGATCACTTCACTTCCCAGTTGTCATACCCTTTCTTTGGTCTATATTCATTTCAAGTGCACAATCTGGGTGGGAAGGTGGTGCTGGGAAATGGTGGGTGAGCAGCATGTCCTGAAGAAAGTGACTGTGTGCTGTTTTGCAGTGCTTCATTTGGTAGAAGTAGTGACCCCACAAGTCCCTACATTTCAGCCAATCGCAATTCATCTCCTGCTACCTCACCCATTACCATTGGTTCATCTACCTCTCGGGGCAGCCAGTGGCAACCTGCCTCTTCTTGCCCTGCACCAATCAGTGCAAACACTACTGCATCTGTACATCATGGCAGGTAAGGCTTCTTGGAGCCATTTGAGTTGCATTCATCAAAGTTAATGGCTCTGAAAACAGATATGAAATTTGAACCAAAGAGACTTTGTCACTATAAAAGCAAGTTAGAATTCCTGAGAAAATGTCTGAATTTAATGAAGATGCTTTTGCTTTGACTTGTATTAACCACTCAACAGTTGCATATTGAATAATCAAAGGGTATGTATAATTGTACTTGGTGTTTGGACATCAGCTGAATATGACTGATTTCATCTCTCAACAACCTTACCAGTTGTGATTACAATTTAAGGGTCATACTATTGTGCTAAATTAAATATTGAAAATATTTTCATATTTTACTTCTATTAATTTTCCAGTAATTATAATAGGAATCTCTTGTATTTAGTCTTTTAAATGGCATGCAAACCCAAAGCAGAAAGAACGCTAACTCATTTTCCAAAAGCCTGTGATAGCCTTCTGAAAACTCCCAGCCAACGAGAGTATTTTGCTGGAAACATTGTGAAAAGGGACAGATTTGTGTTTGTCTAAACTGTGTTCTGGGGGGCAGTATCTTCTTGGTTTCTAGTTCAGCTAAGGGATAGCATGGTAGAATGTTATTGTGAAAGTACATTAGGACTTTAGCTGTAATTTTAACTGTGGCTTTTAATCCTTTATGTGTGGTGGGAAAGGGTCTCTTTTTTTGGGTCTGTGTCTACAACTGACAAAGAAAATGAAAAAAATCTTAATGATGGTGTTGGTGCAGGAACGCCAGTGATGGTGCTTGATTGATATTTGTCAGTTTACTAGATTTCTTTCCCTAAAATAAGTGGTGATCATTAATTCAGCCAGGAGGTAAGGGTTTATGATGGATTATTAATAATAATACTGTGTAATTATGGGTAAATTTATTAGGTCCTTATAATAATCCATTTGCATAGACATGTTAACTATTATCACCATAGATGAAGAAACAAACATAGAGAGGTTATTATTATTATATTATATTACTATATATATATGGTTTTTTTTTTTTTTTTTGAGATGGAGTATCGCTCTGTCACTCAAGCTGGAGTGCAGTGGTGCAATTTTAGCTCACTGCAACCTTCACCTCCCAGGCTTGAGCTATTCTCCTGCTTCAGCCTCCCGAGTAGCCGGAACTACAGGTGCATGCCACCACACCCGGCTAATTTTTTGTATTTTTAGTAGAGATGGGGTTTCACCATGTTAGCCAGAATGAGGATGATCTTGATCTCCTGATCTCATGATCCGCCCGCCTTGGCCTCCCAAAGTGCTAGGATTACAGGCGTGAGCCACTGTGCCTGGCCATATTACTATATTTTACATATATAATATTACATATTATATAATAATACTATATTGCTATTACTATAACTATGAAGAGCTGCAACTGAGAGAAAATAATTACAACTGCAATTTGTTGGACCCCATTATGTGACAGGCATTTGGTTAGGTATTATATTGGGATTTAGTTTGCTTACATGTAACAATAAATCTAAGTAGTAGTGGCTTAAATAAGATAGTTTTTTTTTCTTGCACTTAAGAAAGTCCAGAAATATGCAAAGCTGGCTCAGTAGCTCCACAGTCATTAAAGGATCCAGGTTCTCTCTTCTCCACAGTTCTTGCGTCATGGCTGCCATTTCCATGGGTGGCTTCGTGGTCCAGAATAACTGCTGTAGCTCTAGCTATCATGGCTGTACTCTACGGAAGAAGAAGGAGGAAAGAAGGAAGCAGACAAAGAAAGAATGCCTCTGAACTGAGAGTTTTCCCAGAAGTACTAGTTGTCTGCATATGTCTTATTGGGTACCTCTAGTGGCCAGGAGACTTTGAGAAGTGTGTACTTTAACTAGGTATATTGCTGCCATCAGTAATATAGGGATTCAGTTCATAAAGAAGAAAGGGACAATGGATATGGGTTAGACAACTAGCTGTCTCATGCATACATATATCATCTATTCTCTTATAATGAGCCCCCTATTATATAAAGTATTATTTTATAGATGAGGAAACTCGGACCGAAAGGTTAATCATCTGCCCAAGGTCACACAGCCAGTGAGGAACTGAGGTGGGATTTGAACCCAGATTTGTACATTTCAAAGCTCTTATCTATTTTGTCACTGTTTGTTTCTGCTGAGTTTGTATTTTATTCTGGGTACTATTTTAGGTGTCCTGCAGACATTATTTTATTTAATCATTAGAAGAACCCTGTATTTTAAGGTGCCACTATCTCTATTTTGTCAATGAAGAAGAGATCAGAGAGTCTACATTTAAGCAAATGTTGTGTTTCCAAAGCCCATGTTTATTCTACCCCATTGCATATCCTCTGATCTCTGCTCTAGGGCTGTGCTTATTCTAACAATCTACTTGTAAAATTACACTGCATTTCAAAATAATAGTAAAAGTCCTATTATGTAATTTAATAAAATAAAATCCTTGGCATTTCAACAGCATAAGAAATTATAGTGAGACCAAAACATGTTGTTAACCTAAAAAGAACTTCAAGTAAGGTTTGGTTAAGTGTAATTTTTTATAGCTGTGTGTCTAGCTAATTTTATTAGTACTTCCTATAGATTCTTATCTTGTAAGTCTGAGGAATTTTTTGCCTTTTCTTTTTTTATTAAACAATAACTATAACATTTCACCTTTTTTTGTAGTCATTAATTGCTTCTGGAGAATTAGCATGTGTTTTTTAGATATTCTATCTTTTAAAATAGTCTGCTTTTATGTTTTATCTAGGTACCATATTTATATTTTTATATTTTTATTATTTTTTCAAGCTTGTAATGTGATTATTTGGAAGTAAGCTTAGAGCTACCTGTGAACATTTCTGCTAATAATTGTGAGTAGGTGAAAAAAATAGATTTTTAATATTTGTGCTTTTCATTGCTTTCTCCATCTCTGTATCAGTTGTTGGCCTCTGTTACCCCAGCAACAGCTGTGACATCACAAATGATAGCTTTTTGGGTGGAGAGCCAATGGTTGCTCTCAACTCTTTGTTAAGAAACAAAGATCTTGTTTTCATGTAAATGAGTTTAATTATACAGCTTGCTGTTGAAAAGTCTGTAGTTAAGGATACTTATAGAATCTGGTTTGGTTTTTGTTTCAATTTCTCACTTCTGCAGTTATGAATATAGACAGGCATTTGGTTAAATGGAAAGAGAGAGCAGTTACTGAACTAGGTGAGGGAGAACTAAGCACACTGAGCTGTAGTATCAGTTGTCTCTGGATAATCCAAGAAGATGGTCATCAAATCTAGGCTGAGGACTACCACAAAGACTCCCACTGCCAAGAATTAAGGAACAGGTAGAGACTAATATCGTAAGTGACTTTAATGTCTTTTTCTTGTGTAGAGAGGCCCTGTCTCTGTGTGCATGTGTGGAGACCAGATGTTACTGGGGAGTCATTTAAAACACTCTTGCATATGTCACTATCTTGCCTTGTGCCATAGCTAATGATTTTTGTTAAAACGAAATCTCAGGCACACACATACACATACAAGTCTCATAAAATGTAACTCCTCAGGCAAAGGATGTCAGACTAAACGTGTAATTATACTATTCCAAACTGTAAGAGCTCAAAATTAAAAATCCAACAAACAACATCAGAGCAAAATTTCCTAGATGAACCGCTCTTTAATCCTTCTGTCTCTGTGCCAGTGCTTTGTTGTATAGCATGCCTAACCATTTCCTTTCTGCTTGTATCTTTTTTTATTTCAGGACTCCTCACAAATCCCAGGCTGACTCGACAGCAGAGAAAACAGCAGACAATGTCTCTTCTAGCACCCCGCTCTGTGTGATCACCAATCGCCCTCTGCCTAGCACTGCCAATGGGGTTACAGCTACTCCTGTACTCTCCATTACTGGAACAGATTCCTCTGTGGAAGCCAGGGAGAAGAGGAGGTATGTTGAGTTACTGATTTCATTTGTGGGGCTCTGCTTTGAGGTACAAGATAAAGGAATGGGCATAAAGTGCTTTTCCCAATTTCAAATACATTTATGAAAATTTATCTTTTTTTTTTGAGATGGAGCCTTGCTCTGTCACCCAACCTGGAGTGCAGTGACACCATCTTGGCTCACTGCAACCTCCTCCTCCTGGCTTCAAGCGATTCTCCTGCCTCAGCCTCCCGAGTAGCTGGGACTACAGGCGTGTGTCACCATGCCCGGCTAATTTTTTTGTCTTTTCAGTAGAGACGGGGTTTCACCATATTAGCCAGGATGGTCTTGATCTCCTGACCTCATGATCCATCTACCTCGGCCTCTCAAAGTGCTGGGATTACAGGGCTGAGCCACTGTGCCCAGCCTGAAAATATATCTTTAAATTATTGTTCTGTCTTTTGCCTCTGAGCAGTCAGTTTTTGGTGACTCAATTATTTATGATTATTTAGCATAGACACTTATGCCGTTATGGATTTAGGCATATCTTTTTTCTGTTTGTCTTGTGATAGAGACAATTGTTAGGCATTATTTCACCATTTTGTAATGGAGAACCTGTGAAGCACAGAGAAGGATCTTTTGTTTTGTTATGGATAGTCTATGTTGACTTCTCTGGCAGCAAAGAAAGGGAGCAGTATGACACAAGGCTCAAAGAAATAGAGCTAGGATATAAACTTTTGATTACTTTGAGAAGAATACCAGAAAAAGAAATGAATAGTATGTGATGATATGGTAGAAGAATAGTGACTAGGTATTCTGTAATTTCCTTAGAGAGAAGTTGAGAGAATATTGTGAATTGACATAAAAGATATTTAAGGTAGAAGCTAAGAAAAACTTTTTGATTACCAGCATTAAGAGAAACCTTGGAAAATGTGACCAAGCAAGAATGGGTCATTTTCTCCTACTCGAGGAAGTATTAAAAATAGAATGTACCGCATTTGGGAGGTTCAAATGTACTTGAAGACTAAGGCTATAATTATCCCTTGTTAAGATTAGACCAGGTGAAATCTTATCAAAATTTAGATTTCAGTTTGACTTCGTATTATTTTGAATATCCAAAGGAAGGAGCTTTTATATTTGTGTGTATTTAGAGACTGTCTTTTCTCCAATGTATGTTCTTGGCACCTTTGTCAAAAATGAGTTCACTGTAGATGTATGGATTTATTTCCGAGTTCTCTACTCTGTTCTATTGGTCTGTGTGTCTGTTTTTATGTCAGAACTATGCTGTTTTGGTTATAATAGCTTTGTGGTATAATTTGAAGTCAGGTAATGTTATTCCAGTTTTGTTCTTTTTGCTTAGGGTGGCTTTGCTATTCTGGGTCTTTTGTAGTTCCATATGAATTTTAGGATTGTTTTTTCTGTTTCTGTGAAGAATAGCATTGGTATTTTGATAGGGATTACATTGAATCTGTAGATTGCTTTGGGTAGTATGGACGTTTTAACAATATTGATTCTTCCAGTCCATGAATATGGAATATCTTTGTGTGCTATTTAATTTCTTACACCCATGTTTTATAGTTTTCATTGTAAAGATCTTTTAGTTCTTTGATTAATTCCTAGATATTTTGTTTTATTTGTAACTATTGCAAATGGGTTTACTTTCTTGATTTCTTTTTCAGATTGTTCACTCTTGGCAAATAAAAATGCTACTGATTTTTGTATGTTGATTTTAAATTCTGCAACTTTATTGAATTTTTCAGTTCTAATAGTTTTTTTGGTGGAGTCTTTAGGTTTTTCCAGATATAACATTGTATATCTGCAAACAAGGGTAATTTGACTTCTTCCTTTCCAATTTGGATGTCATGTATTCTCTCTCTCTCTCTCTTTTATTTTTTTTCTTTCTTTTTTTTTTTTTTTTTAATAGAGATGGGGTCTCACTGTGTTTCCCAAGCTGGTCTCAAACTCCTGGACTCAAGACATTTTCCCACCTCTGCCTTCCGAAATGCTAGAATTACAGGCGTGAACCACTGTGCCCAACCTATTACTTTCTCTTGTCTGATTGCTCTAAGTAGGACTTCAGCATTATGTTGAATAACAGTGGTTGAAAGTGGACATCCTTGTCTTGTTTCAGATCTTAGAGGAAAGGCTTTCTGTTTTTCACCATTCCGTATGATAATAGCTGTGGGTTTGTCATATATGGCTTTTAATGTGTTGAAGTATGTTCCTTCTATACCCAGTTTTTTGAGGGTTTTTATCATGAAAGGATGTTGAATTTTATCAAATGCTATTTCAGCATCAATTGAAATGATCATAGGGTTCTTATCTTTCATTCTGTCAATATGATATATCATACTGAATGATTTGTGTATCTTTGAACCATCCTTGCATCCCTGGGATAAATCTCACTTGGTCATGATGAATTATCTTTTTAATGTGTTGTTGAACTTAGTTTCCTAGTATTGGCCTGTAGTTTTCTTTTTTTGATGTGCCCTGTCTGATTTGGTATCAAGGTAATGTTGGCCTCATCAGGTGAGTTTGGAAGTATTCTTTTTTTTTTTTTGAGACGGAGTCTCGCTCTGTCGCCCAGGCTGGAGTGCAGTGGCCAGATCTCGGCTCACTGCAAGCTCCGCCTCCCGGGTTCACGCCATTCTCCTGCCTCAGCCTCACAAGTAGCTGGGACTACAGGCGCCCGCCACCTCGCCCGGCTAGTTTTTTGTATTTTTTTAGTAGAGATGGGGTTTCACCGTGTTAGCCAGGATGGTCTCGATCTCCTGACCTCGTGATCCACCCGTCTCGGCCTCCCAAAGTGCTGGGATTACAGGCTTGAGCCACCACGCCCGGCCGGTACTAATTCTTCTTTAAGTGTTTGGTAAAATTCAGCAGTGAAGCCATCAGGTCCCATGTGAGTGTGTGTATATGTGTAGTAAGTATAAAAGATACAATACAAATTAAACAAGATACAAGATACAATACAAATAGAACTTTTTATTTTTGCTTATTATAAGGACAGCTCTAATGTGTCTATTATAAAGACTCTTTTTTATAAAGACACATTTTGAGAAGGAAGTTAAGGGAGATGTTGAGTTAGAAAATAGTGTTTTTCTTCTTTTCTTTTCCTTCCTTCCTTTTTTCTTTTTCTTTTTTCTTTTCTTTTTTTTTTTGTTTGTTTTTCATTTCTTTACATAAAATGGCAGGAAACTAATTTTTTGGGCTAACAGGTTTCAGAGCCAGCAACTGTCTTTTTAAAATTGGTCTCCAGCCAAGGAAATAGTAATAAGTCAGTCTTGAATAGTAAATACTTATATACTTAATAGCTCAAATATAATTTAGATACTATTAGTTTCACCTAGAAACTAAATGCAAAAGTAATCTTTTCATTAGCTGACAAAAACTCTCTTTAAAAAATCTTTCTGAGCTGAGAGAAGTAAAATGAGTTAAACTCATCATTAAGACCTTGATGCCAGAAAGGATGGGGATATCAGGTTATTTATAAGACTGCATTATTAAATACCTTGTTGCATGAACTGTTATTTGAAGAAACTTAGTTTTACTGCCTTCTGGAAATGTTGTAACCTACAATCAATAAGATAGTACCTGTAACAGACCAGATATGTGATTCAAAGGGTTAAATCAAAATATTAGTGAATTATGAGTTGAATGTGGTACATCAAGTATAGGTCAAGATAAGTGTATTTTAGGAATGGCACAAGATAAGTAAGTAGGGAGATGTTAGATGTAGACTGGTTGGACTCATTCACTGGATATGTTCTAGCATTCATTCATCTTCAAAATACTTATTGAATATTTTAAAGTACCTGTTGCCAGGTGCTATGAGAAGCCCGGGTGATACATCAGTAAACCAGACAAATATGATGTGACCCCTTGTGAAACATATATGCTAGTGAAAAAGAAAAATGTAAATAATTATATTTGTGTAATATATTATAAAGTAGTAGTATGAGTTGTTACAACAGTATCTTACCGAAGATCTGCCGACAGAAGACTTCCCTTCTTGGCCAGGTATGGTAGCTCACACCTGTAACCTTGGCATTTGGGAGGCCAAATTGGGAGGATCACTTGAGACCAAGAGCTCAAGACCAGCCTGGGCAACATAGCAAGACCCCATGTCTACAAAAATAAAATTAACAGGGTGGTGGCATACGCTCCCAGCTGCTTGAGAGCCTGAGGTGGGAAGGGCTCTTGAACCCTGGAGTTTGAGGCTACCATGAACTATGATAACACCACTGTACTCCAGCCTCGACCACAGAGCACAACCCTGTCTCTAAAAAAAAAAAAAGATTTCCCTTCTCCTAGAGGATGAAAGAAGGCTCTCATGAAGGTATGATACTGCTCAACCTGAGATCTGCTGGTTAAGTAATAGCTAAGTGAAGAGAAGGGAATGGGCATTCCAAACAAAAGGTCTGGCAATTGAAAAGACACTAAAGTGAAAAGGCACTTGATCTTTTGGAGAAACTGAGAGAAGGCATTGTGACTAAGAGTAGAGAATGAGGGGGAAAGGTCTAGGATGAAGCTTGAGGAGTGGGTAGGAGCTATATACATATACATATATATAGAGGGAGAGAGAATTCACATACCATACAATTCACTCATTCAGAGTGTACAATGCAGTGGTTTTTAGTATATTCAAAGATATGTGGAACCATCATTACAGTAAATTACAGAACATTTTCATCATCTTAGAGAGAAATCCTGTACCCTGTAGCTATCCCCCACAGTCTCCTCATTCCCCCTGCGCCTAAGCAACCACTGATCTACTTTTTGTCTATGGATTTGCTTATTTTGGACATTTTGTATAAATGGGATAAAAATACAGTCTTTTGTGACTGACTTCTTTTACTTAATGTTTTCAAGGTTCATCCATGTGATAGCATGTATCAGTACTGTATTCCTTTACATGGGTGAATAATATTCCATCATATAGATAATGTCACATTTTGTTTGTCCATTCATAAGTCAATGGACAGTTGAGTTGTTTCTGCCTTTTAGTTATTATGAATAATGTTACC